GTCCACAAAGTAGGCGCATTCCCCGAGTTTCCGTCAACCTTATGTTTCACTTGAACACAAATTGGATAGATCTCGACAAATACGCTCAGTTGCATATCAGTTGCGTCATGTCGAATATTGTACCAACTGAAACACGAGGCGGCAGCACATTTAGTTGAATAATATCATAAACGAAGGATTCAATTAAGTCTCCCGCGAAAATCCATTTGATATGCGAATAAGTGTATTTCGTTAATTTCGTACAATTTGGTTTCAAGTAGAACTTAAGGTTGACGGAAACCCGGGGACTATGCCTACCTGATGAGCCGCAAGTGGAAGGGCGGAACCCGTCATGGGCTGTCAAAGACTTTTCAGCAACCTTGTGAGCAGTTTTCTTTATGAAAAAACCAAATATACTGTTTTAAAACTTTAACACCCCTCCCGTAGAGCAAAACCTTCGTATGAGGTCAAAAGGCCAGTTTTCGAGCGGTAAACTACTTCCGTTAAATAGCCTTAAGTTATCTAACATATAGTAAATTTCGTGTTCGTCATTGCGCGTTCTTTTTACAATTTTGTCTTTCCAAAATATCTACAAGCTTGACTAATGCTGACGGCCGGTTGTTTTTCCGGAGAGCCAATATATAGAAGCATTTAAGCACAATAAAATCACAGTTTTCCAACATGCTTCTGAAGTTAACATCGGTAAGCAACTTATTTTCTCGCCCGAGAAGTTGCTGTGATGATTAGTTTGAGCTAGCAGAGAAAACGTCTTCGAAACCCGTCAACTCGACGATGATAAAGCGCCCCAAAGGCACAAGCTACTTGTTTATCTAAATTCGTTGTCGTATTGTATACAGGCGGTCCAACGTGGAACATATCTCGCGGGTGATCGTTAGCATTGTCTATCTCAGGGAGAATTTTGAAGTCCAGCCCCTTATCGTTGAAATTCAACGCATCATGTGGCATGTAAACCTTTTCCAAGCTAAGTTGCCTTCACACCCAAAGGAAGCACGATGGCTTCTATACTGATAGGTTGTCCAAGCCTAGACAAGAGCAGTTCGGATGGGTTCAAACCATGGAACTTGTGGTCATTAAATTCCCGCTCTAACCACTGAGCCATATTAAATCTGTTGTATGAAACACTGGTGGAACCGATAAGATGAAATGTTTTGGGACCGAACTCTCGTACTGTGTAAACGTTGTACTGGAAGCAGTCTATATTCCATTTATTTCGAGTCATGCTTCTACTAAACTGACGAATCTACGCGGGATTCATTTCAACACATCTATCTGTTGGTAATGTGTTGGAATATTGGTAGCTCGAGTGTATTACTTGTTAATTGATCAGGTGACTTAATCTGTTTGCCGAGCTTGGCAATTGGTTTGCAAACGTTTCGTCATCATTCGAGGAGACATCTTCAGTGCGCTGTTGGTTGAGTAGTTCCTCACTTCGTGCCTGCGTTTATATGGGTTAAAAACAGCAGCCTTTGCGCTGTAACCTGGATTCTGGAAGAAGCCAACCACGACGCGATACAGATCAAGAACGGGCCAACCGAGAGAGACAACAATGGACGGCAATTTCAACAGTAGCGTGGCTGTAGGAAACAGGAAATACAAACCACAACTCAAAACAGATTAAGATCGGACCAATCAGAATCCAGATTTCGGCGCAAAGGCTGCTCTTTTTTAGCCCATATAAACGTAGGCACGAAAAGAGGAACTACTCAACCAACAGCGCACTGAAGACGTCTCCTCGAATGGTGACGAAACGTTTGCGAATTACATTTTGTTAACCCCTACCAGTTTGTTTGAAAAATAGAACGCTGGATAGATTGGGTTGAATTCACACAGTTTGATTATATTTGCCATCCAGGCTGATCCAACTAGTTCCATCCGGCAAGTTTTACCGTTCTACCGAGAAAAATCACTCCGTTTAGGCTAGACTCATATCTGTAGTGAGTTCACCAAATCCATTCACGGATTTGTCCGTAAAATCCATCGTTTTAGCTTCAGTGTTAGATGCTTGCCAAATAAACCCTGTGGTTCAACAGAAGGCTTATTTTCTGCAGCTTTTGGGCATTACCATTTGAAATGCCTGATGAACACCACTCAAAACTAGCTGCTTGTTTTTTTGAATGAACCAACCACACTACGTGTTTGTACCAATCATGTTCAGTGTTGCGGAGCAGAATGGCGATCTTTTTTTAGTTGGGTTCGGAAGTTTAACGGCTGAAGTGGACGACATTCTAAACTGTGCCACCAGTCACCACCACAAACCTCATGGCTGAATGCATACTTGCTTTTTTCCAAGCTCTCGGGGGCATGTGGACTTTGAAAAGCTGTGATCGGAATGCTAATGTTTGCATGAAAAAAAATAATTTCGGACATTTTACTACTTCAAACAGAAAGTTGGTTTCATTTCTGACGAAATTAACTTTAAGTTTACAGCAACTGGCTGTGTTCCCTAATCAAGTAACTGATGTGTGCACAAGAACTGTCGAATTAAACCAAGTGATTACTACAGTATTGCTTGTGTGATTTGTACAGTTTCAGTTCAACAGAGTAGTAATATATCAACAATGCATCCTACTAATGTATGAAAGTTTCTCTAAGCCCTTTACAAATTGTTTCACCGTCTGGGCGTCGAGATAGCTCAGTGGATAACAAGCCAGCTTACGGTCTGGTAGACCAGTGTTTCGACTCCGACCTCAGCATATTGACTGCTTCTGTTCAGGGTTGAACCATCTAGCCTTCTTCCATTGGCATGGCAGAGGGGCATCCAAAGGGGGCTACTACTGCGTCATTTCCATCCCCTAGTTTCAGCACAGAAGTGACGAGAAAAAATGATGTCTCCATAAAACAACTGAAGGAATACATTGCACGGACACCAGAACAAACGTCCACCTAAAGCCTGACATAGAAACGTGACGATCCCACGTCATTTAATGCCTACAGTTTCTTTTATCTACGGTCGAAATCATCCATTCATTGGACGACGAGATAGATTAATCCACGATAAGCCGTTCATCAGTCTTCCTCATCGTCCATACACCCTTACGTTTTTCAAAGGTTGTTGAGTAGCTCCGATCACCAAAATGGCTAAACCAAGGGAAAATAAGAAAATGTTACAAAACGAGGCCATCAAAAGCATGAAAAAATACAAGGTCACTCAGCTCTGGCACAATTTTTGGTGCCCAAGTGCCATGCCATCAGGAGAAAGAACGAAGTCTGGGATACTGCCAGGTCGCCCAAGCCTAGACACGGGGAGTCGAGAGGCAGAGGCCGGGTTCGAACCATGGATCTCCCGGTCAGCAGATTCGTGATCTGACCACTTGGGCACCTCGGGCTTCTCCCATGGGAATAATATTCAGCTTTCAACTCCCGACTATCTTAGGTGAAGAAGCTTCGATGCCGGGGAAAGCCCACCTACATTTTTACCTGCTTGCGTATCATATTTCGTCGAATATTCTTTTTGTCGTTGACGGGGTATTTGCATTTCGGTGTTGCGTGCGTTTGTGCAACGATTTTGGTGTGAGAATCATAGCTAAACAACCGTGACCACAGATAGCTGTTATAGTAGATCTGCTGAAGTGCACATTATCCTAGATAGGAAGCTATGATCATCGGGTAGGCACAGTCATAAACGAGAAATTCAATTGGGTTCCAGGTGAGAAACGCGTCAAAATCAAATTGGAATGCAGATGAGCGCATAAGTCAAATTTTGTACAAATGGGGTTCAAATTGAACGAAAAATTGATGAAAACTTTGGGACAATGCTTACCTGACGTACCCCAAAGAAGGATAACGACAGCTCTGGGCTGATAAAGGTTTCTCAGCAACCTTAGAGCAGTCTATACGTCTTTACACGCGATATCTTGAATATCATATCAGCTGAAACCTGAGGCGGCCTGGTGAAGTACATTCAGTTAAACAAGAACATCAAACACGATAAATTCAGCTTGGTTTCAGGTGAGTCTACCGTCAAAACCGAATTGGTGTACAGGTGAGTGTACCATCCAATAACTTCTACTCGCACATGGAAACTGGAAGCAAGTTTGTCTCCTTTCAGAGTGTCGCTGCTATATCTGTGTGCGCGTGGGATTGTTGCGCATGCTGTAATTATCTCGGACATGCCAGTAAACGGTGTCAAACCTCCAGTTTATTCTAACCGATCCAAAAGCCTTTGGTGGAGAGGGAAATACAGTGAGTGATAATGTCAAGAGATTTTTTCCTTATTCGATTATCGCTTGCGTTTGTTGCCCAGCGATAAACTGGTGAGTTTCCGACTGGCTGGGGAGCTCGGTTCTACACTCATCTGGATCGAATCCCCTCAAAACCGACTGCTCAATGACAGAGTTGTCTGATTTCAGAATGGTCAAGGAAATTGAAACTATTGCCCCGTGGAAATATGCTCACGATTTTCTTGGCGTCATGAAACAAATGAAACAAACCGGAATGCAAGGACAGGATTAGAGAGCTTATTCAACTGGTTATCCGATATTTGTCTCCAAACCCCAGAAAAGAAGTAAAACAAGACACCTAGGGTAATATGCGGTATAAAATCCACCCGCAGGGGAATACGCTTATTTACAGAGTAAATCCCAAGATTTCCACGAGATCGGTTTGAGACCAAATGTGCAATCCTCTTGACGGGCACTGATTCTAATCCCAAATACTTCGTCTTCCAAACCCTTGGCCCTCGTGTGAAGTATGACGAGTACGGCACAATTACAAATCGAAATGGGAGAATTTCCATTGAGTTGGACCACTGGACTATCCGCTGACTGAGTAGGCTTGAACAACTCGATGTGTGTGCATGCGCGTGTGTTGAGATAGACACTGGTTTCAGTGTATGTGCGAATCTCTAAAATAGCTTTGAAAAATCGCCGGTATGCTAGTGGAGTAGATGCATTAAAGTCTTCATAAATATTAATTAATTGAGAGGATCGTATGAAAATTAATCGCTGTGGTCCTGATTGTGTGCGGAATGTAGATTACGATTAATTTCTTCCAGTGACATCAAGGAAACAGCAACAATCCTGGCTAACAAACAATGCGTAGCGAGGGACCATTTCAATCATATCATTGACAGCATCGGATGGAGTATCCGATGCTTGCATCCACACACAATACCCACTCGAATAGTCCTGGTTAGTGTTGGCATGAAATTTCATCTAGTCAAAATCAATCATAATCATCATCAAAGTCGAAATCAAAGCAACTAATAAATGCGCAGAACACCATTGGGAATATAGAACCACCATATTGGGTGAAATGCATTCAGTTGAAAAGTGAGTTGGTGTTGACGGGAGACTCCACTGAATCACCTGGAAAGCTCAGTGGTTGAGTCCGGTAGTTCAAGCCTATGCTTGCGCAATCTGACAGTATCTCAGCCTTCGTGTTTTCTTCGGGTGGTATGGCAGCTAGGCACCAAAAGGGTGTTTTTGCTGAACGATTATTATTAGTCATCATTCGTTTATGATGTTTTTAAACTTGGTGTTCGACAGAAGGGTCACTTCGTGTTTCACCCACCACCGTGTTCCTTGACACAACGCTGGAGTCGGAGTGGCCGACCACCGGTTTCACTCTTCTTCAGGTTCATTGGATAGACGAGTTGGTATCAGCCACTTGGTCTGTTTGAAGATCAAACTGTACGGAAAGTGACGAACTTTGCTCACTTGCAAGTCGCTCCGGCATTGACGAGAGACTTAACTGGATCTCTCATTTGTAATATTACTCAACCATGCAAAGAACGCCTTATGCTCAATCGGGTACGATACTCAAGATATCGAAGTAAATATTCTTTAAATAACGCACACCAGAAGCATAAAACCAGTGGTGGGCTGACGAAAAGTTCTCAGGAAAGACGTTATATGAGAAGCAGAAAGTTTGCATGGAAATTTCGTCCGGTGAACGGAGCCAATCTATCCTGAAAAGCCTGGAAGTGCACTGAGAAGTACAATGCTTTCCGGTTGTTCGACTCAAATCAGATTCATTTGGAGGATGAAATTTCCAATAAGGCGATTTAATTTTGGCGAACCAACAAACGAATGACCTTATGAGAGCCTACCGATCAAAGTACCTGCCAGGTTTACTAAACTGTGGTTCCTGTAACTGGTTGACCGTTCGAATGAGGATTTAATTTGCAGCCCTTCACCGTCTTTCCATGTTGATACCTCAGGAATATTGTCTGTTCACAACAGTCTCGGAAAATGTAAATGAGCTGAATTGGTTTTTCGATTAAAGAGAGGACAACTGGAAAGTTTTTCAGTTGAGTTTCCTCCTTACAATTTCAGTCAATCAATGTCGAAAAACCGAGAAGTGATGTACGGCCGCCTCATCTTTTTTTGGGAATCACAAGCAAAGGGCACCTCACAAATCTCCACGGTCGGTTGAGGTTTGAACCTCCCGGCTAGTACCTGAAGAAAACCAAAAGTGTGATTAAGTTGGTCACATAGCGCCACTCATTCTTCACATCACGTGATCACATGCTGGCTTTTTTTGAGTGAATTGTTTGGTGAGTTGCGTTCAGCTAATTGAATCATTCAAACAACTGTTAAACCGATTGAGAATGGAAAGCTCACCTTCTAGTTGTCTTATAAATCATTCTTTCTATGCTTGTTGTTTGGTGCTTTGCGTGGAATGCGTGCGCTCGTATGCACAGTTTCCTGATCATCATCACGGCTTGCAGCAACATCAGATGGGGCCACTGGTGCCCCACTGCCGCGAAAGGAGATATCACTGGCTCCAGGGTAACGAGGGGAGGAATAAGAACAAATAGGTTAGACTGAAAAAGGGGAGGCAAAATTTATTGTTGGATGGATTTGTATAGGTTGACAATGTCACGATGAGCACCGAGTCTTCACAGACTGTTGTACTACTCAGTAAATTTTGACTGCCAACGCTAGTGACTGTGTTTAACCACCTCTGTGAGGTGGAGGAATTTTCTTTCATCTGCGATCAGTCTTATCTTCAAACAGGAATCAAAGACCACAGAGAATACGTAAAATGCATAGAGACAAAGTTCAGAAGTTCAGATAAAGTACATTCGTGTTTAGGTCAGTGGGTTATAGTTTTATGGAATTTAAAGTAGAAAGCCCCTCGAGAAATACACTCATTTGCAAATCAATTTGGTTTTCACGGGAGACTCAATTGGATCTCTCATTTATGAAGCCCTCCAACTGAATGTACTGCACACAGGACGCCTCATGATTTAGTTGACACGATATTCGAGATATCGCAGTATATTTTCATAAAGGTAAAAACCAAATCGATTTGCAAATGAATGTATTTCTCGAAAACAGCCCAATTTGGGTTCAAGTAGAACATAAGGTTGACGGAAACTCAGGAACTGCGTCTACCTGATGAGCCCCAAGCGGAAGGGAGAAACCGGTCGTGGGCTATCGAGGAGTTTTCAGCAACCTTGTGAGCAGTTTCTTTTATAGAAAGCCCCACGTTTGGGTTCTTTGGAGTTGCCCTGACCAAAATCTAATTGAGGTCACCCCATCTACAGATTGGCTTGGCCCCCGTTTAACATAGACACAGTGGATTTTGAAAGGTAAGTCACTGGAAGTATGAAGTACCTCGCCAAACACTCCCAGCTGAACACTCATTTGGTTTTGACGGTGCACTCAAATGAATCCAGCAGGATCTCTTTTTCAACTGAATTTGCTGTACAAGACTGCTTCACGTTTTAGTTGGAATGATACGCGATATATCACAGTACATTAGACAGACTTACTGGTCGCACATGTATCTAGTACACTTATGTTATGTATATAATATTGTTATATATTATACGCTGAAGACTGTGTGTGCTTTGGACGTGAAATTCCAATAGAACTACAAGACTCTTCAGTAGAATGTTCTGATTAGGAAGCAAGGTATCGCCAATTCTGAGATATAAAATAGTTCACCGGATAATTAATACCATTTCATTAAATTTAGAGTTATGAGTTGAACGCTGCTATCAAAGTAGCCCTTGTAAAACTCAGCCTCTTCTCTTCCATGCTTTGTCCGTGGAGTCAACGTACAAAATCTGGACTGACAGTTGATGACTTCCATTCTACGAAAACACCTCCAGGTCAAGTCTCAAAATTCCCAGCAATAAACGCGTTTGTGCATTTCAGCTTTACGATGTTAGGTTGTACTCGTTTTCGTGTAGTTTATTTTGAACCATCGTCGTCGGTTTCTTAGCAGCAAAATTTACCTCTGGACTCACCAGTGGCCCATTCCACCATCCCGCTTATTGAAAGCTCGTTGAGTTTGAGTCAGTGAGGTAGCTTCAACTCGAATCACTCAGACTAAAGTCCTTCTTGACCATATGAACAACGACTTCATACCCTGTCGATGCCAATAACAAAACTGAGTGGTTTGTTGAATTAGAAAACTGGCTAAAATTAACATTCAGTATTGAAGTAAAGTGATGGTAGAACGATCATGAACCAGGTATGGCACGTGAAGCCTAGTGTGTCTGTCCTGCCAAGTGAGTCTCAGCGTCTGTATAAATTGCTTTTATATGTACAGCATGGACTTTAAAATACGAATAAAAACTACACTGAGAAACAGAAAAGAACATATCTTCTCGTTTAGTCCCGGTTTCGAACCGACTACAACGTCAATTCTGTAACCTGTGTCAGTGAGAGCGAATGAAATGGAACTATTAACATATCGTTATCCTAGCCGCAACGCGGATCTATGTGCGATCTCCTTGTTCGACCTGTGTAGCTGTCTCTACAGGACAACACATTGAGGTTGGTTGGCAACCAAGTTTATGTTTCACTCCTGCCTGATGATACGGTAGCTCGTGAGAGCCACAAACAGGCACGGGGCTCAAAGTGTCTCAGCAAAACCATTTCCTAATCATCCCACAAGCAGCAGGTTCATCCCATCGCCTCTGATTAGGCTACGGCAACGTGACTTACGTTTTACGTCCCAAATAGGTTAGTCCGGTTTAAGGTATTTCGCCAGGATCCTTTCTGGATGGCCAGTCAGTTGAAGCACATTTTTGGGACGTCTGTATCACACTCCAGGATGTTTATTACCCAGTCATATAGACACATCTCCGTTTGACCTTGGGAAAACCAAGCTGCGGAACGGTGCGTAATGCCCCCATAGGCTGATTTGCGTCGGTCGTATCGTTATACCAATCCATCTTGTGTCCTGGTAACTGATATACAAGAAAAGACAACTGATTTTACTATTCGATTCTATACGTTGAGCCTATTGAGAGTCTCCATAAGCATCATAGTTTTAGCTTATATCATTGACATCGGACATCAAAATGATGTGACTGTTTTTGAACCACCAAGTTTCTAGGAATTGAGCCACTTTCATCACCCAGATCCAGCGTTATCCGTATTTTTGGCCCACACACACACAGTCGTCACACAAGGTCGTTTTACGCAGACACAGTCTCAGGTGACCGGACACTCACTTATCGGCTTCACGTGTCTTGCCAAGTTTACACTGGCGTTATCAGTTGCGACCGTGTTCGTTAATCTCAAGCAGTTTGACGTTTACTCGCTGCTTTGATCGATTTCTTCGATTCCGTGTACACGCCTGAGCCAGAAGAAAACATATCGAGAAGAGTGACCATTGCTCAGTTGGCGTTGCTCTAAACTGATAGTGGGCTGTTTTCAGCCGGCTCTAGATTTGTTGGTTTGACTTTTGTGTAGTGCTTGCTTTTCAAATTGGTCTCATGCACGGTTGATTTGGACTGAGACATTGCGAGTTACTTCATTTATTGGATTCTGAAACACCTAGACTGAGTACACAGATCCACCAAAAGTAATCTTCAGCATAGGTGGATGCCTGTGTAGGCGTCTCACACCTACGTTTGGAATGGTTTCTGACAATAATGCTTGTGTCATGAAAATCTTCCGCCAAACTGATTACTTAACGGCATTGGCGTCAAGGTCAGTAATTTTCAGAACAGAGGCATTTATTTTCACTCCGTCCAAAAAGTACCGTATGACAAACGTGTTTAGAGTGTTTTTTAAGCTTCGTGATCCAAGTTTCCTGTTCTCGGAAGCATCAAACGCAAAGTAATTAGGTTCTTTTTGAAGGACTGCTCTCTTCAAGGTCGGTTTCTTTGGAGAATGACCGTAGCTAGACCTTGCCTTTTGCTGCAAGTGGTCTCGAACGACTGGTCGAAATCGGAAGAAACTTGACCGCGTGTTTCGCATAGGTTACTATTCATCGGGTGAGAACAGTTACTACAACCGTAAGAATCAGCTTTTTCCGTCCTGACTGCTGACTCTTAAGCGACATGACATGAAACTCTAATCAGAAATTCACATAGGCTCTTGGATGGGATCGAAGTGGACCACATTTGGTTGTAAAGGCAATCATTCTCTGATCTGTGACTTTCGTTATAAGTGGCATCTGAAGACTAATCAAAGTTCACAAACAGCCCAGTATTTTGGTTAAGGCTCATTCGTGTACTTTCAGACATGATAATCAAGATTAAGAACAATAGAATTTAGGGTTCACGTCAGTGAATGCATGTTTTTTCATCACAGTGACGTTAAAGTGATGGGTACTCAACAGTAATAACTCAAGAAAATCTAAAGTTTTGTGTTTCATGCATGCGTCAGACTAACAAATGTAATGAAACAACATTGAGCATACAGTCAGAATTTACATTTTTTTTGCAATTTCTTACAATGTGTCTTCCAGCATAGCCTTCCCTGACCAATCAAAACTGAGGACCAAAACTACCAATCAACGGTTAGTACATGAATCAGTCCGAAAAAAAACGGAAGCTGGGGAAAACACGACATTAATTGAGAATAGACCACCGTTACCGAACAAATGCAATTTACTAACCGTTCACTCACATCTAATATGTTATCCGCTGTTTTCCATGTATGTGAAGGCAGGGGAGGGGCTTCTGCCCACCTAGCTTTCTCCTCGAATAAAGAGCGAAGTGTCTGCTGGACATTTATTGACATAGATGAACAAAACTAACCGTCAATTGCCTCTTCTGATCCTCGAGTTTCCTTCTGTGCGACAGAAAATCGTTCGCAAGCTTGCAGCTGCGCCTTTTATTTTTAAAGAGAGAAAAAACACTAACGCACACGGTGCACTGTTTACCACATAGCGGCGGAAGTTTACACAATCTGACATCGAAAGATAAACACAAAGATGTGTTTTTGATTTGTTCAAGGGTTTAAGGGCTAAAATGCTCTCAGCTAAATGGAAACAGTCAATGATGAACGTCTAAGGAACTTACTTTGCAAAAAGATAGGACTTTCTTTTGAGCAGATTGACTGGTAGGTCCGGAACACGGTAGTCTGTAGAACTGATAGAACCGGAAATTTTGAGATGAGACAGAGAGTTAGCTGAATATCGATCACATTAGAAATATCCGGGTTTGATGTAAGCTTAAGGTTACAGTGATCAATCGTGAAACATGGCAAAAACTTTCGTACAAAACTCCAAGTAGTCTACTTATTTTGAAAGGCTGGTAGTACAGAGGATTGTGAGGTCCGTTCATTCGAATTTCCAAGGGTTCGAAGAAAACAAAGTAGTTTTGTGCCTGGGAGGCGAAACATCAGTGTTGAGCACTGATGTCACGCTGTCCATGATGATGATGATGATGACGATGATGATGATGATGATGATGACGATGACGATGATGATGATGATGATGATGACGATGACGATGATGATGATGATGATGATGACGATGACGATGATGATGATGATGATGATGACGATGACGATGATGATGATGATGATGATGACGATGACGATGATGATGATGATGATGATGATGGGTCGCAGCAAAACTCTGCGCTCTCATCACTAGTAAAACACCCCTGTTACACCTAGCATAAAGTACTGTAGAAGTGCGATAAAGGTCACGTTTGGCAACTATTTTTCGCAAACCATGTGATCGTTTCATCAAATACCGGGCATCGGGATTAAAGAGACTTTTGGCGGAACCATGTATTAAGGGAATCCAAAAAACACTCGTTGCATGAGGAATGTGAGATCCTAAATTTATCTTACAACGCTATCCCGCATTGATTACTCCCTTCGCCAGAAAACGTGTCGATTAGGTTGAACAGCATTCAGTGGTTGAAAAACGCTTGAAGCTGATCTGGAAATCACGAGTGAAAGATTATTGCTAGGTTTATTGCTGGACAATTCTTCGAATTGAACACAAAGGTTTCGTCAGGCCAAGTGACTAGGTTGCGAGACTGGTCGAAATTTGAAACTCAGGGAGACCCATTTGTGAAGATCACTCCC